TACACCCATTATCGCTCGCGCGGCTGCATTCTGGACCAACTGTAGTCTTCGAACACTCTTCAGTGGCAGCCCCATGCAGAGCGTGTTACAGTAATCCAGTCTTGTTATTGAGTGACTCTGGGCGTTCGAAGGAAGATTCCGATAGAAGAGTAAAGTTGTTTTTAGGGTTGAGCAGAGTAGTAGGGGTTTAAGGTAAAGGTACAGGTTCCCCTCGCACACATGCGCTAGTCGTTCCTGACTCTAGGGGGCGGTGCTCATCTCCGTTTCAAAGCCGAAGAGCCAGTGCTGTCCAAAGGTGTCTCTGTGGTCATGGGGCCAGCATGACTCAACTCCCGAAGGCGCACGGAACGCTGTTCCCTTCCCACCAAAGGTGGTTCCTATTTCTCTACTTGCATTTTTTACCTGCTTTTGAACTGCTAGGTTGGCAGAAGCTGGGACAAGTCACAGGAGTTCACTCCGTGAACTAGGGATTCAAACCACCGAACTGCCGACCTTTCTGAGCGACAAGCTGATCATCAGCAACCCTGATTTCTCTCAGAGATTAAAACTCTTTGAAAGCTCAAATTGCAGCTTTTTATGCAAAGTCCCCCTGTCCGATCATTCCATTAATTAAAGTGAATAAATAATAAACCCATTGCTTTGTTTTCAAAGGAGGGCCTGGAAGCAAGCTGAGGGACGAGAGCACTCAGCCCGGGAAGAAGAAGAAGAAGAAGGAGAGGAAGAAAGAAAAAAATCAGAAAAAGAAGAATACAGTGGGGGCTTCTAGGGGCAAATTCAGCCAAGGGCCAGCCAAACCAGCAAGCTACGATGCTAAGAAGACTGAGCCAGTTACTGCAATCACACCTGGTGCCAGTGCAGAGGAAAGAAATGGGAAAGAAACATTGATAACACCTGGCGGTACAGGTAAAAATGTGATAGAAAGGGGAAATGAGCCAGACTGGTCTAATGGTGGAGATGCTGACGTAGAAACCAGGAGAATGGGAAATCTAGTCTTGCCTTAGGCATAAAAGCTGGCTAGGTGACTTAGGCCCAATCACCAGGAGACTGAGAGTTCTAGTCCCATCTTAGACGTGAAAGCTGGCTAGATTTTTGGGCCAATCACCGGGAGACTGTGAGTTCTAGACCTGCCTGAGACATGAAAACCGGCCGTGCCAATCACTAGGAGATGGTGAGTTCTGGTCCTCTTTTAGCCCCAAACCAAGCTGGATGACTTTGGCCCAGTTACCAGGAAACGATGAGTTCTAGTCCCACTTGAGGTTCACCGACAAAAGGGCGAACAACAAAACCGCGCCCGACTAAACCGCGGTGACAAAACTGCGAGTTCTAAAGCGCTCCGATGAATGAGCGCTGAATCGCGCCAACAACAGCGCGGCGACAGAAGCGCACTGTAAAACTAAACCTAACCCTAAACGTAATGCTAACCCTAAACCTAACCCTTACCTTAACTTAAATCGGCTTTCTGTCGATGCGCTGTTGTAAAGTGCCGTTCTGTCGGCGCACTGATGACGCCGCGGTTTTAGCGACGCAGTTTTGTCGGCGCGCTTTTGTCGTGCATGCTTTTGTCGGGTCACGCCACTTGAGGCATCAAACCTGACTGGGTGACTTTGGGCCAATCACCAAAAAACAGTTCTAGTGCTGCCTTAGGCATGAAAGCCAGCTAGGTGACTTTGAACCAGTCCCTCTCTTTCCCAGCCCAACCCACAGGGTTGTCGTGAAGAAAATAAGGAAGGCTTGTGATGTGTTGCACGGGTGGGCTATAATTTTTAATCTTTTTTTCCCCCCTAAATCCACCCAGGGAATAAAAAGGCACCTGACACAAATTTCGCAATGGATTTCTTGCGGCAGAGGCTACACAACAAAATTGAAGAAATATCTGGGAAGGTAGGATGGAGACATGGGTTTTAAAAGTTAGCTTTCCCAGGTCCAGAGGAAAATGAGTAGTATTCTGAATTTTGCCTTCAGTCCTACCGTATTTTTCAGAGTATAAGACACGCCTCCCCCCCCCCCCAAAAGAGTGTGAAAATGTTGGTGCGTCTTATACATTGAATACAACCATTTTTGGCCTCCCAAAGCCCACCTCCCATCCCATTTTTGTGAAAAATGGGCAAAACCCGGGTCATTTTTTGCAAAAACGGCATTTTTTGCCTTCTCCCATCTCCTAGAAGCACTGCAGCAGTGGTAGGTTCTGGATTCTGCCCCGCTTTGGTGGAGCGTCGCACAGGTGCTGCACGCAGCGTGCACGGAAGCGCCAAAGAGTTTAAAAACAGGTAAGGATGACGGGTGGGCCCTCCGGAGCACCATACTGGAATGGTATCCGGTGCTCTGGGCAGGCACTGGTATGTCCGTACCGGGGTGTACCACCTGCAACCCACCACTGCTGTGCAGGTTTCAACAGGGCTGGGGGAGGGGAAAATGTCCCCGTTTTGGTGAAAATGGGCAACAATTGAGGCATTTTTGTGCCTTGCTGAAGCCTGCAGAGCGCTCCTAGGGGCTGGGGAAGGGCAAAAAATTTTTTTGCTTACTTATCTCTTGGAAATCACGCTGCGTCTTATACTCCGCGGCGTCTTATAGTCTGAATTATACAGTACATCACTTGTCTGGGAATATAATTATTGACCTCTGGACAGGTACTGTAATGATTCCCTATCTTTTCACACCCTCATAGGAAGTTTTTTAAAAGGGCCTTTTTGTGTGGAAATTCTGGAGATTGTACTGGGAGCGAAGTTGTCCACTGGGAACGAGGTTGTCCATTTTGAGCAGGTCAAAATGACATTTTGAATTGTTTCCTATGCCTTGCAGGCCAGCGCCAAAACTCTCTCACCCACCGTGCTGGAGAAGCGCCAGCGAAGGAAATACGAACGAGAGAGGAAGAAACGCCGGAGGAAGGAGATCAAAATGAAGGAGAAATTAGAGAAGGAAACCGCAGAAGAGGCGTCGCCCGCCGTGGCTTCGGAGCCGCAGCAGGCGGAGAGCAAACCTGACATCTTGTTTAACAAAGTGGAGATCCATGCAGAAGAGGAGCTGAACAAACTGAAGAAAAAGGAGGTTAAAAGAAAATCCATCAAAGGCAACATAACACCACTGACCGGCAAGAATTATAAGCAACTCTTAAACCGGCTGGAATCTCGGAAAACCCAGCTGGAAGAGTTGAAGGCCAAAGACGAGGAGAAGGCTAAGGAGTTGGAGGCAAAGATGCAATGGACCAATGTCCTTTACAAGGCAGAAGGCGTGAAGATCCGCGATGACGAAGAGAAGCTGAAGGCCGCCCTGAAACGCAAAGAGAAACGTAAGGCCCAGCGTCAGAGGAAGTGGGAAAAGCGGACGGAACAGGTGGTAGAGAGAATGCAGCAGCGGCAAGAGAAACGTCGCAAGAACATCCAGGAGAAGAAGCTGGCCAAGATCGAGAAGAAGAAGGCTAAAGCTCGGAAGAAAGGACGCATCCTTCCTGAAGATCTCAAGAAAGCTGGCCCTAAACGGAACTGAGTTTTAACCCGCTTCGGGTTTGAATGAACAATGCGGGTGTTAAGAGAATCCATCCTCTGAGCTGACGGGGCATGGAGATGATGCAATCAAGTCTGTTTGGGTCAACCCTGGGTTTGAGGAGGACCTCAAGGGTGGCAGATACTTCTTTCTGAAGTCTCTCAACCAAAGTTGAGTCATTGGATTGCCTCTTTCCAGCGGTTCCACCACAAAACCGCGGTAGACTAAAGCGCGCTCGACGAAAGCGCGTACGTGACATCATCAGCAGCGCGACAAATACAACCGTGGAGAAAAAAGGCCGCTTTAAAAAGCGCTTTTAAAGCAAGCCGATTCACATAAAGGTAAGGGTTAGGTTTAGGGTTAGATTCGAACAACAAACTACAAAAACCTATAATGCATGTCCTGAGTTGGGAAAGCTAAAAAACC